AGCCTGCGTGCAAAGCAAAAGGCCCTGCGGGAAGTGGCAAGTCAGCAGGTCTGGCTTGGGCACATTAGGCGGACTGGCCAGAGCCCAGTGCAGAGGTGGTGAGGGTACTCATTTGTTAGACCGTAGTCCCGGCCAGGCCTACACAGTGGGCCCAAACCAGTGGCTCTCAACGAGGGCACACAAGAATCCACAACTGCTCAATCGGATGAGACTGTGGTCACTAATTGCCTGTCTAATTGCAATTCATGCCCAGAAGGACCAAGCTTGAGAAAAGGAAAGCTCTGTCTCATCTCCTCCTGCACCCCCGTCCCCACTGCTCTCCATCTCAGTAGGTCACCTGAAGAGCAAGCCCCTCCGAGGTACCCAGCCCACCCACACCTCGGGCACAGTGTTCTAGGGAAGGTAAGGTGGGCAGGCCACACAGGAGGGGCCACAGTTCCACAGAAACAGGGAAGCTCATTCTGCAGATGGGGAAACATGTAAAACCAGGCCTCCTGTGCATTTCAGCCTCCTTCCTGGTGCAAGACCTTGACAGATGTTTGACTACTTCCAGTGGTGGGACACTCACTTCTTCACTAAGTCACCAATTCTCTTGCCAGAGGGCTGCCCAGAAAGCCCCTATTTCTCTCGAATACAACTCTATACACCCATCCCTGCCCCCTCCCCTGCACCTTCCTCCTCTCGTCTCCCACATGTTTGTTCAACAAGCACTGGCTGAGCTCGGATGGGCGGCCAGCCGTGTGCCAGGCACAGAACACACATCCGTGAGCAGGACAGGTGGCGTCCCTGCTATGACGAGGCTCACAGTTCACCTCTCGGGCTTTAATATGCTTCTCCTCATAACAACCTCCCTGGACACACCGGCTACTGTCCAGAAGACTCTGCCTTCACCCCGCTTCTCCCTCCACCCAGGCTTTCAAGAGAAAAATGTCCATTTCTCCAGCTGGAGTAAGTGCCAAAATTCTCATAGTCAATCCCAAGAATGCAAACAAAACATTTAATAAGAAGAATGGGGAGAGGGGAGGGGAAGACAGGTCACACCATATCATCCTCATAATATCTCCAGGAATAGATCTGCCATCCTCATTATAACAGAGGAGGAAGCTGAGGCTCAGAGAGGGACACTACCTGCTCAAGGACACACAGGAGAAAGTGGCAGGGTGGGCTCCACACACAGGCCCGCCACGTGGCTCCAACATCTGCTCTTTCCCTGCATTGGGACCTGGGGTCCTACAGTGCCCACCGCTGTCCTGGCCAGCTGGATACCTCCATCTCCTCTCCACCTCCCTCAGCACCACCCCGGGGTCAGAGTCCTTGGGACCAGCAGCAAAGCAAATTACACTGAGCGCAAAGGAAAAGGCTGGTGTCAAATCTTTTGCTGTGGAATTGGATCCTGAAAGTTACATCCAAGGCTTTTCCAAACCTGCCCCGGGTGACTGGTCCCAGCCTGCCTCCTGCAGCAGCACCAAAGCAGGGCCCAGCAGTACGGGGCTGCTCTCAAGGAGAAGGGCTCATGAAATTCCCAAGTCCTTCCCCTTGAGGTTTTTCTTCTGTTTTTTCCTCTGAATGTTGGAAAGATTGAAATTGAGTTTTCCTCTTTGCTTTGGCTCTGATGAAAAGGAAGCCCCAAGGACAGCTCACCACCCTGCCACAGAGCCTTCATTATTTTTGTTATTGCTATTATTTTTCTATCCTTTCCCCTTCTTCCCAGTTTCCCCATGTCTACTTTATCTTGTGGTATCCCCCAAATCTTTGTGCTCTCCTCAAATTATTTTTGGAACAAGGAGCTCTAAACCCATAAAGGCAGTGCTTGGTGGAGTGAAGGTGTACGGGGAAAGAAGTTGTTCAAGGAGAGAGAAGGAAAAGGAGCATCTGATTTTCACAAGAACAGCAGGGGGAGGGAACCCTCCTGAAGGAGGAATTTGGAGTCCCAAGGAAGCCTACAGGGCACATGCGAGTTCTCCTGCTCTGTTAGCCCCTGACCTGTCAGAGGTTGAGGAGCTGCTGGTTCTCCCCGAGGTTTTCATGACAAAGGTGTCAGCGGGAAGGATGCCCCACTCCTGCCTCCCACAGAGCCTGCCTGCCCCTGGGCTTCCAGGAAGGATGTCATGCTGTTCACAAAGCACTTCCCACTCACCAAGAGATGAGAAGAGCCCAGGGGCCCTGATCTAGACAGTTTGCATTCTTGTCAATTCCTTTCCTCTTGGAGAGGAAGGCTAGAGCTGCGCATCAATGTCACTTTGCTGATCAAAATCTCCAGTAGCTCAAACGTCCCTGCCTTGTTCCTTCCTTACTACTTGCCGAAAGCCTCTAGACTTGAGTCATGTCTCCTAAGTGACTGTAAAAGCCAGCATTCCGGATGGCTCAGCCTGCTACTTGCAAATTATTCAAATGAATGCCAAGTGAGCACCAGGCATGCTTCTGGCTCATGTCCCGTCCACTTGGATCGGTATCCCTGAGGCTGAGGAATGACTTGACCAGGCCAGTGGCAGGTACCTAAGTCCTCTGTGCTGGGTGAGCTGGAAGCCCACCCCTGGCAACACGCTGGGGGAAGCAGGGTGCTGGGAGCCATGGCATTAGGACTCCCCTGTTGTCTGCATTTGTGCTCAGAGCACCCAGGACAGAATGTCAATGAGCAACTGAGCACTTGGGTGTTCATGAGACTCCACTCTTTCCTCTGAACCAGGAAAGGGAACAAAGGGACCTGAGGCTCCTGGAGCCTAAGCAGAAGCCAGTCTCACTCAGGAAATCATTGGGGGACCACATGTACCCCAAAGTCCTCCAGCCCCCACTTCAGCTGGGGACTCCCTCTAGCTATGTCTCTCCCTGTGTCTTGTTTTTAAGTCAGAAACATGAATCATTCAATACATTTTAAAGTGTAGAAAAGATCTAAACTTCACTGAGTGATTATGACATGTGTTGATCACACATTCCCATTCTTTAGGAAGGAAAGTGAGACAGAGGGGTGCAGGTGCGGGGATGGAAGTCATATGGGGGGAGAGAAGGAGGGAGGAAGGTCAGCAGGGTGGAAAATAAATGAGAGGCGGGGTGGGGGGGCAGGAGGATGCAGCAAAGAGAGAAGAGCAGGATTATCCCCCATGAATGAATGGAAGGCCGAATCACCCTCATTCTAAAAGCAAGACACTGAGGTGCCAGGGGGAGAAGAGGACCCTTCAGCTAGTAAGGGCTGGAGGGAGGACTAGATCCCAGGTCTCCCCAGTATCTGCTCTAAATGGGTGCAGCTCTCACTTCCTCAAGGGCTGGTGTTTAAGCTCCTCAAGACCTGGGTCTAGCATCTCTTGATCCTGCCCAGGAAACAGGTGTGGCCTGATGCCTTATCTAGAAACACTCATTACTGGCTTTTACTCATCTCAATGCCCTAGTCGTCTGCCCTTCAGAGGAAGCCTGGCACTGAGGCAACAAGGGTTAGGGAGGAAACCCCAATTCTAGTCTGCTTCCCATCTGCTGTGTAACCTGGAGCCAGTGCCTTGCCCTCTCTGGACCCCTGAACCCCCTCTGCAGGGTGTGCCCAGGCTGGATCTGCTGAGTCTTCACAGCAGCCCTCACCATGCAAACCACCCGGCCGGGCACTCCACAGGTGCTCAGTCAATGCTGAATTAGGTAACTGCTCCGGCCACAAAGGCAGACATTGGGCTAATTGTGAAGGTTGGGTAAAGCCAGCAGTCTGTGATTTGGGGAAGAGAGCAAAGCACACCCATCCAGCGGAATGAAGGGACATTTCCGCTTTCACGGGATAGTTGTATTTGAGACTGTTGGGAGGACTAGTGATTCCATCCAGAAATGGGACGTGTGCACTACCTCAGGGACAGAACGGATAACAGCGAACCCCTCAGCCTTTCCTTAGAAGCATTTAAGCCGCCGGCACCCCAGTGCACTGTTAATGCTTAACCGCGGGCAAAAGGTGTAAGTCATTCACCACCACTCACCTTCCCCTTTGCTCTTTGGAAATGAGCTACTGGAATTGTGGGAGGTGAAAGTGGAGCTGCCTGCAGCTCAGAGCTCACAAGCGCTGGCCACAGCCTACAGCGGCCGGCGCTCTCTGCTCCCCCAAGTTCTCTCCCCACAGAGCCTCCCATTCTACGCTCTCCTGGTCTCCCCGACACCCAAGCTCAAGGATGGCCCCTGGCCACCCTCAGCCCTGACCTCCCCGTCCTCCAATCTGGATGGCGCATTCCCTGCCTGCCTGCCGAAATCACCTAGCCTCCCCAGTCAAATGGGAAAGTTTGTATCCCCGCTCCCTTTCCTGCCTGCTCCTTCCCCGCCCCACTCCCCGCCCCCAGCAGGAGCTACTTACCGGTTCCTGGGCACCGCCAGTCCAGGTGCCTGTCCCCAGCCCCAGCAGTACTCACCTCTCCACTCGCACGGCTTGTCCCCTCCACTGGGAAAGGGGTCCAGGGACTAGTCTCTGCACCCCAAGACGCCCTGCTGGCACCTTCTCAGTGCTTGGTTGGAGGAATGGAATTAACCACCTCCTTCTGCTCTGATCCAAACTAGACCTCACCGGTTCAGACTGACTTGGACTTAAAGGGGAAGTTCAATGTAAAGAGAACTTAACTTGGAAGGAACTTGAGCTGGGGCCTGGGTTGGAAAGTTACCTCCCCCACTCGCCAATCAGGTGGGAAAGGCAAGTTACTGGAACCTGTTTCCTGGTCCATATAGCAAACCAAATGTCCCACATGCAGCCCAAAGCCTGTGCTAAGGATTTTACGTGCGTTTTCTCATTTCATCCCCCTACTGCTGGGGAGAGCTGGTACTTTTATCATCATTGCCATTTTACAGAAAAGGAAGCCAAGTTTCAGAATTTACGCCCAAAATCACTTGTCCAGCGGATGAGGGGGCCATGACTCGAATCCAGGTCTCCAGGATTCCCAAACCCGTTTCTCCCCCATGAGGTCCCCAGAACCCTGGACGTTCAGAGGCAGCCAGACCAGGGCCCCGCGCCGCCGCGCTCCCTCCTCCCGGTTTCCTGCACGCGATACCTTCCTTGGGTGCATCGGCGTCCCAGACGCTCCACATCTGCACGAAGAAGAATGGGGTCCAGCACACGATGAAGGCCAGCACGATGATGAAAGTCATCTTGACCGTGCGAAT